AAAAACACAAAAGCTGTACTCTATATTTGCAGTTCAACCAAAGTGCGCAAATACTTGAAAATTTCCGAGGCAAAACGAAAAATGAAATTCTTATGATTGATCTTAATCAATTGCAAGATCCTGTGGATTCGAAACTTACATAATAGGAAGAAAATGTTTACTAGGTGAATGAAATATTATATAAAAGTAATTAAAAAAAAAAATCTAATAAAAATGTTGAAGAATTTTGCTATTTTGATTTGAAGTCATACATATTCAATTCGAAAATAGATCTCTAATCCTTCCAAAAGCTAGTATACTATATACTCTGAATTTCTTATTTATACAAAATCGTTGACTTATGCTCCAGACAGGAAGGGCTTATGCATACTTACGATAAACTTTTCTGACTCAACATACACAAATACTTAAAAACTTTAAAAATTTACAGAAAACAATCAAATATGTTTGTAAAATTCTTCTGCGAACTRACTATTTCAACTTATTTCTTAATTTAATTTCTTATCCTTAGACAATGTTATACATTTTTAATACAATAAAAATCGTTATTGCCACGACTGGTTTGCATTTTATGAGTCTTTGTATGAACGAGGAAGTATGAATGTATGTGTCATTATCCCGCTTAGAAGGGCGCATGTCCGTGTGGGCGGAGTTTATTTTATTAACCCGCACATAAGCGTATTCCGCATGATGTGTCCAGCAACATGTTGCTAACAACACATGTGTAAACTTCAGACACACACGTATAGAAAAGCTTTCGCCGGCAATTTCACGGCCAAACAATGGACAATATGCAACAGTGTGTTTTAGTCGTGGTTTGGCCATCTTCGCAATTGTGTGGACTTGACATTTTTTTGTTGTTTGTGACTTGTGACGTGTGCTCCGATTTAATTACGTATGATTATTATGATAATTACATAAAAGAAAATGAAAACATCATAAAAACTACAAAAGCAACATTAGAAAAGTGCTGCCTTAAAAGCAATTGACAAAATAATTCATTTCACCAAAATAACTACAACAAAAATATCAAGCCAAAAAAAAAATTATAACAACTTATATTAAGCTATAACAATAAAGGTACGAATACTTAGAAAGACAACAAATATACTCCAGTGAGTGATCAAATAAAAAAAACCCCCCTCATAGTGGGTTCAGAAAGTTTGAAGATCCGCAACCGTAAAATGTGCGAAATTTTGTAAAACAAAAAATTTTTTTACTAAAGTAATGAAATGTATCGAAAGAAAAGTGTTGTAMAAGTTAAAATCAGCAAAATTTTGACTCATTTAGACATCATAGCCCTCAAWACACAAATAATAAGTTAGTGGTACCCTGTAGTTCGGTACCATCAGAGAGGAGCTAACGATATGATTAATTCCTAATCATAAGTACCAGTTCCAGCTCGATTACCCGCATTGTTATTTGACTAATGACTTTTACATTACGATGTCCTATAGGTTATCTACTATATACATATAGGATATGTACTCTAACACAAACAATATCTAAAATATAGAAACATTTTTTCTTGTGGTAGACATCTTCCATGCATAGGTCTCATAAATGGCTAGTTACATTGAGTTATCCAATTCAACTTAAAAATCTTCAAACATTAACCCCTCGGTTATATGAGGGCCCATAATTTTTGAAGTGAATTTGACATAAAAATTCTCATACCCTGATGTCATAAAATCAAGAAAGACAAMGGTTTGCTTACTGTAACGTGAAATTTTACGCTTATGTTGCACTGCCTCTTCTCATTATTTCACCACAAAAACATTGATAGCTGCTGACACTTTTTTGCTTGATCAATTAGCTCACACTAATAAATTACCTGGGTATCAATATTGTGCACTAATTKCAATAAATGTGCATAGTTATACATAGAATTTTGCTTGAAATATTCTTGAGTTTATAATACTCTCTTTGATTTATTGGCACAGTTCCTACATTTCTCACACTTTTATCTATATTAGTTCTCCAATGTAATGATCACCAAACGTGCAAATTTTCTCTCTTAAACACCACACTCTATAATAGCTTAGCTAATTTAGCCTATTAAATATATATGAAGTGTTTATACAGTCAAATGAGGAACCATTATGATGATTAATTAAAGAGTTTTTTATAACTTTCTAACTCGGATAGTCTAATAAGAGAATGGTACTCACCGACAAACTTAAAAATAAAAAACAAGTACGGAAGGGCTCAGTTCGGGTGTAACCAAACATTTAATAATTTTGCAACTTGAATTTTTTATTCCAATTTTATACATTCAGTTAATTTTGACGAAAGTTTGAAGACCTTATATTAGGTATGTAGTACATTGTATTGACCCGATTTTATCTATTTTTCCCAATACTASKTGCAATTARAAGACCACAGGCTAATAAAATACTTTCAAGGTTTCATCGAGGTTCCTCATATACAATCAAGTAAAATCAGCCGGACATTTGAAAATCTTAATATTAGTTACATGGGGCTAGGTCAAGTTTTCAAAGAAGTTTATTCATTTTATTCACAAGGATACACCATAATAAGAAACACACAATTTATCAATTTTATTAAGATGCCTCACATACTCTACGATGTAATCGGTATAAAATCACTCGGAAGTTTGAAGTATCGGCTCATGGAAGTATTTACCCGATTCAACCCATTTTTGATACACAGAATTGCTATTGCCAGAAAAGGACTCTGTCATAACTCCAAATGTWTATCTCACATATTGACCGATTTTTCGGTAAAAACTCAACTATGAGCCCGGGTCCACATATTGACTACTACGGGGCTTGAACACTTTTGGTCCTGATTTACTGAAATGCACTATTCGCGCAAAGTTTTATCCTGATATATTAATTCATTTTTGGTTTGTGTGCTGGAAAGTGAAAGTTTCAAATGGAATTTTAAAATTGTGTTATAGCTGAAGTAGGCGCAACTGTCGTCAAATTTCGCACATTTCCCCACTGTAACATAAAAATGTCTCGTTGAARTTTGGTTGAAATCGGCAGGCCAGGTCTCGAGGTATGTGTATTGATTTATCGCACTTWTGGTRGTTTCTAACAGTACCGTTATATGGAGAGTGAGCAGAGTCATCATCCGATATTATCAATTTTCGCATTGTCGGTAGGAGTCCTAATAATATTTGAGCTGGACGAATTTGATTATTATGGCTTTCGTGGCTTAGGCGTTATGTTAAACTTATTAGAGAGCGGGACCACGCCCCCTTTCTCAAAATATTTTTTTCACTGGTACATCTTGCCACTGCAATTCCGTGTGTTAAGATGTCTTAATTTAGTGCTTGCTTATGGCACTTTCTACGTTTTCGGTTAATAGCGTTTTGTGGGCGTGGCAGTGGTCTGATTACGCCCATCTAGAAACTCGAATGCGCATACTTAGTTTCGTCAAGAGACATCAATTTTTACGCAAGCTACAGCTTCTACGTGCGGACGGATGAACAGACCGACAGTCACCCGAATTTAAACTCGTATCATCATCGCGATCATTTTTATATTTTTATATAGTATAACCCCATAATCATCTCAATTAGTTTTAGGTGATACATACAACCCTTAGCAGAACAAAACTATTATACTCTGTGGCAACATGTTGCAAAAGTATAAATATAGTGTATGTTTAATTTTAATAAAAATACATATTATGTAGTTTCTACTAATATTTGAATCGAGTCGAAACCCTGATTTCAATACTCTTTGACACTCTCACACACATGCACAAAATGCTAATGGAGAAAAGAGTCATGCTCTTTGGATTCATATTGAATGGAGAAAATATCTTAACATGGCATACATGTAAATACGTACCCGCACAAATAGTCATACATATGATTCCTCAGTACGTGCTCATTCCACGAGTAAACGAGTTTCTTCACATTTTTGTTGGCTAAAATGTTAATTCGTCAGCTTTATAGCTTTGCTCGTAATGCCACAAAACGATCATCATTCAGTTGAGGTCTGCTCGTCGATCCAATCGGTGATACTATTTATTTAGTTCGCATTTAGTCCGCGTTTTGTGAAATTTTTACACCCGCTTTGGGAAGATAACTAAGTACTTACTTCCTTCCTTAATTGCGTTGCGTTACTAACGCTTAGTCCGCCGGTGTTCAAAGCTACTGCATACTTGAATACTCCGTAAAACTTGGCAGGTAATTATGACGTGGTTATTCGGCGTATTCAAACATATACATATCTATGTATACAATAGTGTATGGGAACATCCGTGTATTAAATGTGAAGAATGGAGAGCAATAATTTTTAGCGATAAAAAATTGTCAAATCGACAGTAATAAAAAAAGAAAAATGATAGTTCTTGGTTGAGAGTAAGCATAAATGCTCAGAGAACCTCGATTGTTCAGCGCATTGAATGAGGCGGGTAAAGTGAAACCTAATAAAGCAACAGCGACAAAACAAATCGACATTAGAGTCAACAAATTAGGAGCATACACGTACCATTCTTCATGCGTACWTATGCATAGAACTGTGTATATAAATTCGTGCTTCCAACCAAACGTGTCCGCAGATAAGAGCAAGTATATTACAAGCGTAATCTGTTGTTGTACGGTTGCTGAGAAGTCAAGCCGCTGATTATTTATGCCAGCAAAGCAAATAATTTTATCAGTACATTTGACGAAAGAAGGAAATGAAGTCAAAGACAGCGTACTACAATTATCAAGAATACACACAAAATCTTAAAATGTTTTTGTGTGTACACAAARACAATAGTTGCTCTTAGCTCTATTATAAACAAGTGCGAGAGTTCTCGCCGGCTGATCTCATGACACGTCGATTGTTTATTTGTTCCAATCAGAATGGTAGCATGAAATAATTCGAAAGTCTCATTAATTTGATTCTTATATGCTGTATGTACATATGTATGTATATATTTTAWACCTCTTCTTCAGGTAATTTTCAACTTTTAACTCAGTTTTTTGGATCCCAAAAGTACAAATTGTGTGCTTTCTGGGTTAGTATGGAAATGTAGCTTATAGAGAATATAAAAACAGTAAAATGGAGACAATGTGGTCTTTGAACTTTAAGCTAGCTTCCGTCGTAAACAAATATAAATAAATTAAAACGATAATTACTTTTGATTTTTAATAAAAATGTTGACATATTCTTCGTCTTTAAATTAGCACAGTTCGAGCATTTAAATAGAAAATAGTGGCTGAGATAAAATAATGCTTCAAAACTGGAACTTAAGTTGGAACTATTTGAATCAGTTTAAGGGAAAATGTTTCACTTTCGAAGAAAATAACTGGAATAATAGGACATGAAAAAACACCTGATTGCAGAGATTTTTCGCTTTCCAATTCAAACAATTTTTTACGTAAAGAGAGATAATATAATAATAAAGCAAAAAGCATATTATTTAAATATGCAAGATTTATTTTTTAAGACGAGAATAAACCTCAGTCCTTACATTAACTTTAAAAGACTCAATTAACCACAGCTAAAATTAGTTTCCACTGCTCACACATTAACCTCAATTCTCAGAACATTTGTGCCATATTCTTTAAGTTCACATGTGTGAGTCCAGCTCTCAAAGCGGTGCGTGAGCTGCTCATTGTCGTGATCGTGAACTAACTGTTAGCAAACATCTCATTTAAATACATACATACTACCATATCTATCGACCAGAGAAAGAGGTAATGCCGCAACCAAAAAGAAATAGTAATAAAATAAACTACTTAAGCTAAGGTGGAATAAAAATGCAAGAAAGAAAGCAAATAAAGTAAAAGAAACAGAGAATGTGTGTCGTCTGAGGTCATAAACTTTTATGTCTATGAAACACATGAAGAAGAATATTTCGATTTTTATTGTCGAATTTAGTGTTCCTTGCTTATTATGTGAGTCAATGCGGAAGCCGAGAGAGCAGGTTCTTTCTTTATAAAATTTCAACATGTAGGCATTAGATTTCGTTCATGTTTTGAAAGAAAAATTTGATACGCTCGCGAAACGGATATACTATGTATTTCACTATATATATAAAGTACTTTTCTAAACGAAAACGAAAAATTTAAAAAACATTCAAATTATTCCATATTTGTCGTTATTATCGAAACAACATTTTGTGAAATTATGCTCTTAACATATTGCTAAAAGTTGGACTACGAAGTCTCATTTTATACGAATTCCTTAAATGGGCCTACGTAAATTTTTTATCAACATTTCCAAGCGAACTTATACTTTCATTATACCCTCAATAGAGTAATTAATTTACAAAATAAAAATAATTATGTACATGGGTTTCGTCGAGTAAAACAAACCGTTTTTAACAACTTTTTCTCATATAAAAAAATAAATGTTTTATTCGAATTTTTATTTTTACGAACATGCGTTATTAACAAAGAAATTCTGAAACTTTTGGAAAAAAATATTTTAAACTCACCGATTGTGACGCCATTTGCGGTGACGATGAGGAAAAAGATACGTCCGCGTTGGCATGACAACTTCTTACAGGATCATCTAAAGTGAAAAGAATATGTGTTTTGGTTGAAAACTTAACTTAGAACTTGGACGCAGGGAAAAAAATGAAAATTGGATTTTTGTCTGTATTTTTACAAGAAAATTAAAATTTCGCGACATCCCTTGACCAAGTTTTTAAGAATTGAATCTCAAAAACCTGTGTAAATTTCACGAAGATGGGTTGCGTAGTTCTTGCCAACCGAGTTCAAAAACATAGTTGCCAGAAAAACGTGTTGAAAGACGGTGCACTTAGCCCAGCTAGATACAGTCTTGCGAACTATTACTCGGATCAATTTGAAAATTTAGGACAATATTCTAGAGTTGTTGTAGAATTTAATAAGACAATAGAAAACTCAATTTTTTGAAACCTGTAAACCCATGTAACCACTTAAATTTGTTTCGAAGTTTATAAAACCTAAAACGAACTTCGGACACCTCATAAAAGTCATTTAGCCATGTCTGTCTCAGTTTCTCAGTTTTTGAGACAGCGATCTTTCGGTAACTGTTAACAGCCTTTCAACTCTCAAAAAAATGTGTATATGTATGTACATACATATGTATGTATACTCACACGCTGTTACCACATTTTCTTCTCAAATTTAATTGCATAGTTTCTCACCATTTCCGAAAGATTTCATTTCCCGCTTATAATAATTGTATTTGCTCACTCCACGCTTTCTTCACCTTTTAATTAATTGCCTGACTTTAGGTGTCATTTTGGCTTAATTAAGGCTGCACAAGACTTCTTCACTTTCGTATGCACACATAGATATGTATACATTCATACAGATATATTTATACAATAAAAGTCTTCAATGGTTGTTATGTATCGCTCTTCACCATGAATGCGCAATTGTAGCACAACCAGACATAAAAATAAACAAATTATACGCCATTGACGGAGTTTCACATAAAGTTACCATGAAATCATCGTTTCGTATGCGTTATGTGATTTCAAAACTTTCTTTTGCCGAGTGTCTATTTCTCTAAAATAAGTACTTATTTGGTTCACCCATTGAATGCCCGCTGATTTGGCTAAACACAACGCCCACTCAGGCATCTTTAATTGGAGTGCGGTCATCATTTCTTGTAACACTTTGCCCAAAGTTTCTAATTAAAAAATAAGGCCAAAAGATACGCGATGCATTTGAAGTGGCGATTTCACCAGCAGTCGGCCAAAATGGCATCAGCAGTTGGCGCGCATGCGCTGTGGGCTTTCTTTGAATTTGAATATAAACGAAGTGGTTACAGATGATGGAGAAGAAAAAAAATCGAATTTCACAATATACTCTACCTACACAAAGCAACCGCAATTGCATAACACAATGCGAAATTGCAGAAAAATACCCCATACACCTGCGTGTGTGTGTGCGTATGAATATGAAGAGTCATGCCTCCGCGCATTAGCTTTGGTATATGCATACATACGCACCAACAGTTACTTTTAGATATATGGTGGCATAGCGGCACAGTGGGTGGAAACAGCCGAAATGGCGAAATAATTAAAAAGAAAAGTTAAAAATCGAAACAGCGTGGGCGCGTTGCCAATGTCAAAAGTGAAATTAAATGAATAATTGAGTTGCGTAAAGGTATATAGAAAGACCTTGAGTACACCTGGTGATATACTGGGTAGTCGATAAAGCCTTTTAGTATTTCTAATCAAACTTCAACTTATTTCCATTTTGGTCGACCACTTTTTGCCATTTTTCCCCTAGAGACATTGTTCCATCAGTGTAAAACTTTTATGGATTATCGGTGAAAAACTGCGGCAAGTAATTTTCACAGGCTTCTCTTGAAGGCAACTCGTCTCCACTAAGGAAGCTCTGTATGGACGGAAACAAATGGTAGTCCGATGGAGCAAGGTCTTATATATAGCTATATGGTGGATGCATCAAAACCGAATCATCAAAGATGTGTGTGGTCTAGCTTTGTTCTGATGGAAGACGAAGTCCTTTCTCAATCTCATCAGTTGTTGACAGTAAAATATAGAGCCAATCGTCAACCAGGCTGGAGCAGCTCATAGTGAATAGTGAACATTTAGCGCAACCCTTTGAAGCATCCATCCTGGCTTTGCGACCATTTGTTGAGCCTAACCACGCTTGTATCATGATTTTATTGGGGGCTTGCGTGGCGTTTTTCCCCTTTTTTATACAAAAATTACAAAATATAGGGAATTTCTTCATTATTTTCACTAATTTTCGAACTGTTGTAACTTTTTTCAACTTCCTCGAATGAAACTAGAAATCTCACCTTTCCAACTCAACGACATCTTTTGACAAAATACGTCAAGACTTTTTCGACTACCAATATATATTATAATTTTCAGTATAATTTAAATATTTTCGACGACATTTACTTTCAATTGCCATACTGTACCTTAGGCCTATAAGTTTTTCATAAGATTTTTTATTGTGCCGATTGTTGCATTGTTGTTTCATTCGACACCGGTGTGTAATCTATTTTTCAATGCTTTGGCTTCAACTTTGGCAAATGATTATGCAATCGCTGGCCATCATCCGGGCCAACTGACGACAACTGCATACAAAGCACAGCTTACGAAAGCAATGATATAAGCAGTTTCGTGTGCATCGAGTCAAAATGTGGCCAATTCCAGTGAAATCAAGCTGATGGTTCGCATGAAAAGTGCAACTGATTGGCAACCGATTCGACTCGGAATGGCGATTTAGTTATGGATACGCAACTAGCTGTTGGCAGTTTAGCTTGGTTTATAAGATAGCAATTATGCTCTGATATTTACTTATTCTCAGCTAATATGCACGGTTATAAAAGAAACACGCTCTCTCAATTTTATTAAGATAACTCGCATATTGAATAATATATGCGTTATAAAGTTACCTCGGAGTTCGAACATCTTTATATTAGGTGTATGGGAAAGTATTGACCCGATTCAACCCATTTTTCATACATAGAGATATTGTTATCAGGAAAAGATTCTCACTGAATTATATATTCCATACATATTTTCGGTCATAATTCAACTATAGATACTGGGCTCCACATAATCGGTATACTGTGGCTTGAACAATTTTAGTTGGATTTAATTTTGAAAAACATGGACATATTTTTGAATAGTTAAACTTGGAACAAAATCGATTTATTTCATTTCTAGACTATAATACCTCTTTAGTATTTTTAATGCATTTTATTATGTCATCGTTCATATTTTCAGAATTTTGGAAAACCAACTGATAGAAATATATCTCACATCATTCTCTTCCTATCAACCGCATTAATAAAATTTGTTTTCTTTGCAGATAATAAAGTCTGAAAACGCGAAACTAAATACGAAACAGCAAAATGGCAAAATTCGTACTTATTGCAACGTGCCTTGTGTTGGCGTCGAGCGTGCGCGCCCAAGAACTGAAAGTCGATGTCGTCAGTACGCCCGAGGTGTGCGAACAGAAGTCGAAAAATGGTGATATGCTGACGATGCATTACACCGGCACGCTGACGGACGGCAAGAAATTCGATTCGAGGTAAGTGAGAGCACGAGATCCCGAAGTGATAACAGCACTTAGTGAAAGTGAGGCATGTTGCTACTAGCTGACGTAGAGACATGACATTATTTAGTGTTTAAATTCGTCACCAAAAGCTTTTAATTATCCAAGTGAAGTTTTTTAGGCGATATTTGCTACTGTGTACATACATAAGTATTTTCTACTGTGTACATATCTAAGTACATGTATATATATACATATATGCGTATTATACACATATGTATTGTATGATTTGTAGGCTCGAATGTGTACGAGGGCAATGATTCGCCTTTAAAACCCTACACCTATGACAACACACACTCGTACAGACGCTTGTTGCACTGCGCTGCGAAGCTCAAAAAGCTCATAAATTAGGCGCCGCTATCAGCGAGATACGCAAAGAAGATAAGCTTTGCTGACGCTTTTGTGTTTGTGTTATTTATAACCGCTGCGCATTTGACGCTGATTTTTATAACACYAATTGTTGTTGTTGCTTCCTTGTAATTATTTGGCTTTTGGTGCTTGCTGCTGATACACCACAGACAATATTCACAGATTTCTGTGTGCTTGTACAGCGGTGTGTGTGATGTATGCCGCAAAGTGACTAATTTTTACTAGGCCAACACGCAAGTCACCCTAGCGGTGAAAGCGGATGCCAACAACACACATCAGTGAGTCAAAATACATTCACTTGCTACAAAAGTGCGTTAGTTTAGCACAGTGTTGCCGAAAACGATTGTTGTTGTTGTTGAAACCCAATTAATGAGACGCGCTGCCTCTTTCTACAGCCGCGCCAACTACTTCTCAGTTACATGCCCAGCACTCTTTGTGACGTCGTGATTTATCTGGCCCTCGTTGACTTTGGTGGAGCGCCGCTATTGTAATTAAATTACGTGTCAACAAAAGCCAACAAACAAAGGGTTGCGCATTTTGGTCTGGCAAATCGTTAAAAGTGGAGAAATTCATACGAATTTATGTGACGAAATATGTGTGCATATTCTCACATATGCCTATGCATATGATTTTATGTATCTACATGTAAATATTCTCATAATCATAAATATTGTGCCAAAAACCCTCCAATAATATTTTTTAATTTTTTAAGTGAGTGAAGCACAATGAACTTATAGTAAAAGTTGAATGGGTTTTAAACAGAATCGGGTTCGCCTTCTCCTAGCGTTATGCCTTCACTGCCATTCAGCTGACTTGATTTTGAGATTACGACTCGATGTAACCAAAGACCTAACCTAAAAATTACATAATTAAAAATATATATTTATACTCTGAACAACGTATATTAAGCTTGCCTCTAAGTTTGTAATAGATAATGATCAGTATGTTGAGCTTAGTCGATTTAGTCATGTTCGCCAGTGCGTCTATGGCTCTGTATATACGCGAACTAGTCCGAAGTCGAACTAGTTTTTGTAATATCGATCTAACATTTTTCACACGTTCCTTTTTCTCAAAAGAGTTGATATCGGTCGATTGTAGCATAGATGTCAGTAGCTGCTGTACGAACTGAACGCTCAAATCTAAGTTTTTGTATGGAAAAGTTTTTTGTTTGGCAAGATATCTTCAGCAACTCCTGTATTAAGTTTAGCATGTTTTTGATTAGAGTGTGGTGGACTTACATTTCTAGTAATGTAAAAAGGAAAGACTTGAAGAAAATGCAAATTTCTAAAATGGTTTAACCAGTCAATATCTAAAGTGGATTGATAAAATCTAAACATAATAAGTAGCGGAAATTACTCATAAAAATTAAATTACGACAGACACACAGATTTTTGATGTTTTCCTCAGGACTGCACTTGTTTGCTGTAAATACATATGTCTGTGCATATCTACACAGTCATGTGATGGTTAACAAAAATGTGTATGTGGCATGCCACTTGTCTAACGCTAGCTTAACGGTAAAGCCAAAGCATATGCATACATGTGCTGCATGTGTGTTTGTATATTGAAAATAAAGTCGCAATGATTACGAAGCACTTACACTTAATACACATTTTAACTTGGACTCGCTCCATCGCCCCACTTGAAATTCAAATTTAGTTTAGCAAAAGTGAATGAAGCAAAAAAAAGCAACACACTGCACTCCACATGCCAACGCGTACATATGCACATCAGTCATCAATTGCCATAGTTGTACCGCTGATGTCGTCGCTTTAAGTGCCCCCGGCCAACCGGTTGTCTGTGTGGTGGCATGCAACATTTTCGGCAACTTTGCCATTGACTTTATCAACGTCAGCACCGCAGTCAAAAACCAGATGCTTTGATAACTGGAATCGTGTCGTCAGAGCGCACACATACACACATGTTTAATACATTGTGCCAGGCGGGAATGAGTAAATTGTGTTAAGGTAGCAAGCGGCGACTCGGCGACTGCAGATGTGTGTGGCAACTGTGGCAGATAGACGCTTGCAGCAGGCGACGTTGCAACGCAGGAGAAAGTTTTTGATTTCTGCTTAATTTACCGTGATTTCATTTTAGTTCACAAGTTTCGCTGGCGCACCAAACAACCCGACAATCAGCAAACCAACCAGGTAGTGAGGCATATAAAGCACACAAAATGGAAAAATATGCAAAAAAAAAAAAAAATCAAAACAATCCGTAAAACGGTTGGGCTCTTAGCGCTCACAAGTGTCACTTGTTGCAGCCACCTGCACAAGCACTCACACACACGCACACATAGAATGGTGCTAAGCAAGAGTTTTGCTATATGGCGACAAAGTGTGCTCGTGCCACACGACACATTGCTGCTGGCTGAGCACCACTTAGCCTGACCATTAGTCAACATTTGGACAATCAGTTTCGATGAGCCGCGGCAGACTGGGTAAACGTTTTGATGGCATCGTCAACTGTCTGCTTATTGCAATTTAAACAAAAAGTTCGGAAAAAAATCCGCAGAAATGCAAAATAACTCTCAGTTTATTTAATGCCAAAAGCGGCGTTAGCCGCGCAGTGCTTCTCTGTCTTAGCCACTTGCAAAGCTTTTGTGGCTGCGGAGTCGGCCAGGCGTATGAGCAACACTTTAGCCGCCACAACGGATATGCGCCGGAAATTAGCGCGTAGTCAAAAAGTCAAGCAGCCAGAAGCTGATTGTGCAAATGCCTGTAAGTGGCGGTTGCATGCCACTCTTTTACGCCGGCTTTAACTTGTTCTATGAGTTGACGCTGCAGCTTGAGAGCCGTCTTGCAGCTTGCCTTGGCTGCTGCTTTTAAATAAAGATTTACCTTTACAATTAGTAAGAATAAAAAAAAAAGCTAAGAACAAGAAGATATAAATAAGGGGAACAACAACAATGTAGTTCGACATGTATGCGTCTGTTGGCAGATCGCTGCTGGCTTATATTGTAGCAATTATGTTGTACACAGACATGAGGAGAAGATGCCGTTGAAAATATAAAGTAAACACGCGCTTAGCGTAGCGTCTGCACTTTGTAGGCAAATTCGTACGACAACAACAAAAATAAAATGTTGTTTTGATGTCGCCAGCAGCTTTTTAATGGCTTATAAAAATATTTTCAACAGACTCTTGTGCGCGTGCCACATATTGCATCACAAACACGCATAACTTTATTTTAATCAGCGCTAAAGCCCAACTAAGCCTTTAATATTAATTTCTGCAACTCAATAATACACTGACCCAATCAAAGTCATTTGAGCGATAAACTTCCCCACTCCTTCCTCGTACAAAAAACAATAAGCCATTGATGTCAAAAGCACACAACTCTCAAGATTGTAAATCTTATGAGTAAAGACATCTTTTCATTTATTACTCCTTCATTTGTGCTTTTGCAATTGATAGTTGAAACAAAGAGAATACTCATTGCCAGCGAGACGGCCCTGCAATAAAAATAAGGAAGCGCCCTGTGAAGATTTCAGTAAACTCTTTCAACCGTTGAAGCGGTGAAAAATTCCATTGCATACATAGTACATACAAGTATGTACGTGCTTGATTAATTATAAAAAGGATTAATGCTCTTTGCTCATGTAAAAGGCGTGCCAGGAGACGAAAATTGCATTATGCACAGGAAATTGGCAAAAATGTGAAACTAACAAGCAACTTAGCAAACCTAACTTCTAAGGTCTACGGGATGTGAGAAAGAACAGAGTTGCCAGCATTCCTTGAGTAATGTCCTGCTAGATGATGTTTTTTTTATTTTTTTTTTGATAATAAATGTCCGAAAATCGGAATTCCTTGCTATATAGTTTATAAACATTTATTTTAAAATTTATGTTTATAGCTATGTTTGTCACCAGTTAGAAAAAAACAGTTTTTTTTTATCTGTAATCCTCCAACTAATTATATTAGCAATTTATGCAAGGTTAGGTCCCAGGATGGATCTTAAAAAAACGTTAAAATTTAGAACCTACGAAACATTATCATAAAGATCCCCAAAAAAGATAAAGAGCTTTGAAACCGTCACAAATTTGTTGAGTCATCAAGTGTCAGTTTCGCCTATGTCTCTTTTTCACCGAAAATATGACTGCCGAGATTTTTCCACCTCAATCTCACAAAATCTGAACAATGGAAGAGAAAAGACAGTGTCCACCTCACTTTTTGCCAAACAACGTTTACAACTTGGGTTCGACAAGTTCTTTGGCCGCACCGGAAGAATGTCTTTTGGACAATATCCAGTAAGATTGCGGCAAAATGAACTTTTCTAAGCATAGGTAGATTCATAGATATTGTTAGTCGACTAACGCCTGCTAAGTGTACGCGAGCTCCAAAGGTCCAGTGCTAGAACATAAGATGCCAACATAGGTACTCCTCGCTCCCATTCCAATGTGAGCGGAGCAAGGGTGTAATCTCTTGATAAATTATCCAAACGATACGTTACTCTCTACATTACTTCTGCCAGCGACTTCTCTCCGTCCATCTCCTATTTTAAGCGAACTTTTCGATTTCTTTCTCAAGCTTTTTGAATACCTTAATTGGAAACAACATCTAATCTCAAAAATTCTGCGAATAAATATTTTTCATACTTTGTTTTTATT